TAGCCTGCACAAGAGGGCCCTCTTCTGGTCATGCCCTTCTGCACCGCGCAAGGAGTCTGGAGACAGGGACACGCGCCCAGCTGGGTCCACAACTCCCCCTTCCTTGAACATGCTCTGGGTCCAGGGGACCTCAGAATCTCCTTCCCAAATGGCTCTGTTCCTACTTCCAGGGCCTCTGTGTGCCTCGTCCCTGGGTTCGATGTGTATACCCCAGCCCTGAGGTAAAGAGGAGGCTATTTGTGAGGGTGGGGGAGAATATGGATGAAGCTGGATGTTTGAGTTGGGGTTTCCACACACGTACGTGTGTCACCTCATGATGCCCAGTGGAGCAGGGGATGAAGGGGAGGTGGGGATGTGTCAGAAGGGAGTGAAACTCCAAGGAATCTGAGAATTCTAAATCCAGCTCTGGCCTCCTGCATTATGAAAGTATATTTGCCAAGACAGAAGGGTTGAAAGTATTTTATTTTACAGTTTATTAGCTTGATTTGTACATATAAATATCAAGACATGTGGTATGCAAGCCTCCATTTGTATTCCTGCCCTGGATCCTGCCAATGTTAGGGTCAGGCCCATTTCAATCATTCTCTCTCTCCTGACTTTAAATATTTCCATGCATCTGTTAAGTGAAAAACAAGCAAACGGCTATGTGAACAAAGGCCCCAGCCCTCACTGGCCTGAGCTCTCTCCTAGACAATGACTGCTTAAATGAGGCACTCAGCGATCATCACTGAGGGCCTGTAATGCTCTGAAAACAGTGACGAAGAAGAAACTGTCTCTGCCTAAATGAGCCGGCAACCACAGGCATTTACCACACGATGTAGTACGGTCTGTGAGGGAGGAGACGGGCTGCTGCCAGCGCCTCCTTGTCGGGACATCTAACTCTGGCTTACAGGGTGGGAACAGAGATCACAGAAGTTCCAAAGAGGAGGGAGAAGTTAGCCCCTCATCCCCTGTACGTGCTGCTCTCCCACTTCAGAGAGGACTATGGTGGTCTTTGAGGGGCTCCATCAGCTTCTCGTCGCAGTGGGTTTGATCACATCCCCATAGTTCAGAACATGCACTGCACACTCTGCTGCCTCTTGTGGCAGCTGCGAGTTGGGGATTTTGAGGGGTTTGACTCCAGCTTCAAAGTTTCTTCCCATCCTCAAGGAGTCCCAGATCAACGGGAGCAGCCATTGTTTACACAGTGAGGACTGACTATCATACTTTACACAAGTTATCAAGAGACAGCGTGTCTTCCATCCAGTAGCATGATCCCAGATATCTGCTGTGTTTCCTGAGATTTTTGAGCAATAACCAAGTGGGTACTTTATGTCTCAAATGATATGAGATAGCTTAACAAGTACATTATTCATTCTTAATCATTAAGTCTTAACTGGGATCCAGACTCTGGCTGAGGCTGCTGAATTGGCAGGCCCCAGAGAGGGCATCAGCATTCCAGGGGAGGCCCCAGCAGCCTTTGCCAAAGGAAGTGTGGCATTGGTGAGGGACACAGGAGCAGCAGGTACTGTCAAGGAGGCTGGGGAGGAAATGCAAGAGAGGGCTCACACTACAGCAAAGGCAAGACACACCCTGCAAGTTCTCAGGAACATGGGGGGGCTGGGGGGGTGGCGGGGGATGGGGAGGGACGACGACAACCTGGGGCAGACTTAGGCCCTGCCTCAACATAAAAGCTAGGAGAATATGTGTCATTGGTGTTAATTTCTCCTTACCAATAGATATGGGAGCATGCGAGTTACACATGCAACAGAGTGCATGGAGTCCCTACATGTGCCACCACTGTGCAGTGACTGGTACCGCCAAGGTGGACGTGGAACAGGTTTCTCCCCAGCCCAGAGCTTTTGCTCCCTTGCATGGATGTCCTCCCACATTTCTCACACTCTCCTTGTTAATATCATCTGTTGGTGCCCTGCCACTCAATCCTGATGACTCTGGCAACTGCCCACAGGCAGTTTATGTCCAGCTGAGAAGACAAATCTAACGTCTCTCTTCCCCTGCTGGAGTGGGGCTCCCTGAGAGCAGGGACTATCCTGTTTTTGCTTGTCCTTGTCTCCACCCTCAGGGCTTGGCATAAAACAGGCAATTAATAGGTACTGGACGGCTGAGGCTGATAGGAACAGGCAACAGGGGATTTTAACCAAACTAGAAGGATGAGGAAGGCTCAAAAAAATGGCATGTCAGCCAAGATAGGAAGAGTGGGTGGAAGTAAATGAGACTAGAGGAGGGTGGTGTGGGGAGGAAAGCAGCTCCCAGGCAGAACCAGTAGCAAAATGTGTGAAGGCTCTGAGGGAGCAGGGAACATAGCTGGTCAGTGAAACTGACAAAAGTGAACTGAAGCAGAGTGCAGAGAGCTGGGAGAGAAGCAAGGTTGAAGAGATGGCAGGTCAAAGGCCTTTGAAACCACATTATGGACATTGACTCTATTCTAGGGAACACAGGAAGCCACTGAAGGGTTTTAAGTAGAGCACATGATCTAAATATGCATATTTGTATTGTTAAGAGGTCATCTGGAATTGATGTGGTGGCTGGGTTGTAGGGACCAAAGGTGGAAGCAGTGAGACAAATAAGGAGATGTGGAAGTCTGAGAGAGAGGATGGTGGCTGGAATAGGGTTATGGCACGGAGATGAATGAGGAAGAGGAATCAAGAGTGACTCCCAGGTTTTGGGTTTGAACAACTGGTGGATAATGGTGGCACTTACTGAGATAGGAAACACTGAAGGAGAAACATGTTTGAGAGGAGCAGGGAGGATGATCAATTCTGTTTTTGCTGTGCTGAGTGTGAGATGCCTGTAAGCATCTTGATTTTACATCTGGGTGGGGAATTTTATATCTGGGTGAGGAATTTCATATCTTGGTATGCATCTTTGGAGAAAGATCCAGATAAGAGATGCAAATATGAAAGTGGTCTGCATTTAGATGGCACCTGAGGCCCCGTGAGTTGGTGAGATGGCTGGGGAAGACTATAGACTGAGGAAGGCAGAAGGCCTTTGACCAAGCACCAAGGAACTCTCAATGTGTAAAGACTGAGCAGGAAGAGTCTAGTTCCAAACCTGGGCTGATCATTAGAATCACCTGGGAAACTTTAAAAATGTGTATCTGTTGGAGGAATGGGACTACATAACTTATATTGTGAAAAACCTGTAGTAGGATTAGAAACCACGTGGTAGAAGAAGACTGCCGAAGAGAGGACAAGTGGTTAGGAAAGAGGACAGTAAAAAGATGGCGGTGTCCCAAATCCCAAGGGAAAGATTTTAGGAAGAAAGGGATCAGACAAGATCAGAACTGAGTTTAGCAACGGGAAGCCAGATGGTGGTGCACCCACTTGTCTGACTTCTTGAAAGCAGGAAATTGGTATTTGAACTCAATAACCATTTACTAAGGGATTACAGGAAGCAGCCCAGCAGAGTGCCCTGTGCTCAATGCTCTCAGAGAAGAGTGCACAGGGTGGGGCTACGGGAGGGGCAGGGAAAGCAGGGTGCATCAGATGGCAGAAAGCTTTTCATGGCAAGTACCATCTGAACTGAGGCAAAGGGGTTAAGCATTCCCAGCAGAGGAAATAATGGAAACAAAATATGATGAGTTAAGAGAACAATACACTTTAGGAAACAGTCCTTTGCTGGAGCACAGGGAATTAAGTGTTTGGAATGAAGCAAGGAAAGGGGGCAGAGCCCAGGTCTGAGGGACCTTATACGCCAAGGTAAAAAGTTCTTTGGATTTCACCTTGAAGGTCCGTGAAGAATATAAGAAAGTAAGCGACATGATTAGATTTGTGATTTAGATAGCCCACTCTGGCAGCCAGTGTGAAGGAGGGACTGGGATTAGGGAGGATTAGGAAAAGATGGAGGCCCAAATCTCCATCAGAAGGCTGTTGCAGGGATCCAGATGAGGGGAGATGGATTCACCAGGGTAGAAGTGAGCTGAGGGGCTGGCAGACAGGAATGGGAGGAGGGTGGGATAGCAGAGAGAGTGGGCCTAGGGTCAATATCTGGTTTCTGGCTTAGGTGACTGGCTGGTTAGAGTTGTCAGTTACTGGGATAAGGGATAAGGAAGACTAGATTTAGGTGAGGACGGGGTGGAGACTGCGGCACGGAAGAGAACATTTCAACACTGGTAGGTCATTCCTTTCTCCAAAGGAGAAAAGATGTCAGTTACATTATTGCATTTCCCTAACTGTTCTCTCTCACCTGAGTCATTCTGCAGCCTATTTCCTTCAAATATCCAGATCCATATATGCCACTTTCCTGTATTAGAACACAGTAGCTTCAACTAGTTACTGCAGCGGGTTCATTCATTTATTAATTACTTCACTAACAAAAAATACTTAGAACGTACCAATGATTTGCAAGGTACTGTGAACCTAGCAAAGAAAAGTGAGCAAACACAACTGGCCTTCCCCTCATAGAGCTTACATTCTAGCAGAAGCCAAAAAAGACATTAACAGACCAATTATAAACCATGTGGTTTATGTCGTAAAGCTTCTGAAGTAGAGTAGCATGTGGCAAATAACAGTGGGGACGGACTGTTCCACCGAAGTTCATGAATAGGTTTTGGCAGATCTACGAACTCCCTGAAATCTGTACGTAAAATTTTGCGTATGCCCGTAAACATTCAGGGGTGCGTGTGGGGGGAGGGGCTTACACGCTCACAGGGGTTTTTGAGCCCTAAAAGTTGAGGAATCACTCTACTCTTCAAGTCCCTTTGGGCACCACTGATTCACAAACTGCTTCCGTGCGAGAAGGCAGTGACCAAGTAGAAGGCTAGCAGCTTGGCGGTCTGTCTAGTCCACTGAGAATGATCCTAAGTTTACTCTTACAGACATCAAAAGTGATTAATCGTCCCACTTAACGTGAGAAAAGGCAACATAGTTATTAATTTTTAAAAACCCGGTTATTAGAAAAAGATCACGAGATGTTCTATTCCTCAACCACTGGGGATTTCCAACCACGTGCCCAGGCTCCCGGCGCGGAGCAGCAGGACGCCGCCCCGTGTCACCTTCCCGCCCGGAAAGGACCCACAGCTCCGAGCTCCGCCTTTTACTCTCGGCCGAGAGAAGTCAGCCAATGCTTTGCTAGTCCAGGCCGGGTTTTCAAGCATCAAGACGGAAGTAACGGGAGCCGCCAGTTCCAGGGCCTGCACAGGGAAAGCAGTGGGGAGTGGGGGGAGGTGGCAGACGCAGGGTAGGAATGGCGGCTCAAATTCCCATTGTGGCCACCCCTTCCACTCCAGGAATAGCTCGGAACAGCAAGAAGAGGCCCGCCAGTCCTTCCCACAACGGCAGCAGCGCCGGGGGATATAGCGCCAGTAAGAAGAAAAAAGTGTCTGCCTCTAGCTTTGCGCAGGTACGCTGTCACTCGCCTACCCTGCGCCTGCGTGGGGCCGTGCCGGCCGGGGTGAGAGCGCATGCGCGGGGTCCGGGGCCCAGTGAGTGCGCGTGCGCCTGCGCGGGGCAGAGCGGAGGCGGGGCGCATGCGCTTGCCTTTGCGGTGTCTCTGGTTTGGTAGAGCAGGTTTCTGCTGCAAATGAAGCGCTTTTTGCTTGGTTTGAATTTGTGGGATTTGGTTAAAGAACCACTCGCATGGCGTTGTCCTTGAGGAAAGCAGGAGAGGTGGGGAGGTTATTGCTGTCTTAGCAGAAGGATCGCCCTTCCCGTCCAGGTGGCGTTTAGAGCAAGGCTCAGGACTTTTCTTTCTGTTGAGTTTCAGTCCATCGGAAGTTAGCGTATCTCGCCTTGGTCCAGTCTACAGACATTGACCAAGTGTCTGTGAGGTGCAGAGCTCCCTGATGTTCTACAGGGAGGAATACCAAGATATACAGAAACGGATGGTTGCCCTCATCCTCAGAAAAGTGCTTTTTGACCCTCAGTTTCCCCATCCCAAAGTGAGTTTGGTCTTACCTCATGAGGTTGTTCCAAGGATTCAATGAGATCATGGTCGGAAAGCGCTGAGCACAGTGCGTGGCAGAGACTTCACCATATTCGGACAGTCTAGGCTCCGCAATTCCAGCAAAGAATTTTCAGCAGAGGAGTGGCTTGGTTAGATTAATGTTTTTCTTGGCTCCCGCACTTTATTTGCAAAGATGGAGTCTGTTACTTTGTCCTCTCCAGCACGTGGTTTGGCGTCTTTCACCCAGAACAAGGTTCTAGAGATGTTAACTGCCTATTGCTTCTTGCATTGGTAATTGGTACTGCTTTTATTGGGGTTCCTTTTTAAATACTTTATTGAGGTACAATTTGCATCCTAAAAATGCACAAATCTTAAGAGTACAGATCCATGACTTTTTACATATGTATGCACTTATATGGCCAGCACCTGGAGCAAGATGAACATTTCCAAGAGCACCAGAAAATTCCCTGGTGACCCTTTCCAGTCAGTACTCTCTTCTCTCCCTGCCAGAGGTAACCATTATTCTGACATCTCTCACTATAGATTGACTTTGCGTTTTTGAACAGAATATACATTGAATTATAGAGAGCATTTTCTTTTATGTCTGTTTAGGTTTCTCTGTGAAACAATGTTTTTGAGAGTCATTCATGTTATTACCTGTATCAATATATCTCGTACACTGTGTGAACATACCAACTGATGGACGTTTGAGTTGTTTACAGTTTTGGGATTTTATACATAAGCTGTTCTGAACATTCCTGTACAAGTCTGGGTAGATGTATGCTTTCACTTCTCTTGGGTAGATGGATAATAGTGGAATTGCTGGATCATGAGGTAGACACACGTTTAACCCAGTTAGAGATTGTTAAACATTATTTCCCAAAGTAGTTGCATTATTGTGCATTCTCACCACCAAAAAGTGTGAGAGTTCCAGTTGCTCTGCATCTTCAACAATATTTGGCATTGTCCGTCTTTAATTTTAGCTTGATGGCTGTCTGGTGGTATTTCATTGTTGTTTTATTTTTATTTCTCTGATTACTAGTGATATCAGTCACCTTTTCTTAGGCTTATTGACCATTCTAATATTTTGTTAGTTTGTTTGTTTTGTTTTTTTTGTGAGGAAGGTTAGCCCTGAGCTAATATCTGTGCCACTCTTCCGCTACTTTGTATGTGGGATGCCTCCACAGCATGGCTGATGAGTCAGATAGGTCCACACCTGGGATCCAAGCCCACGAACCCTGGGCTGCCAAAGTAGAGTGTGCGGAACTTTAACCAACTGGCCACAGGGCTAGCCCCCCATTCTGATATCTTTTGTGAAATGCCTGAGTTTTTCTAATTGGGTTTTTTTTTTTAATTATTAATATGTAGGAGTTCTTGATATACTCTTTTTTATTGAGGTAACATTGGTTTATAACATTATATAAATTTGATGTGTGCATCATGTTTCAACTTCTGTATAGACCACATTGTGTTCACCTCCAGAAGTCTAGTCCTGCTCTACCCGTTCACCTCCCATCCCCCTTTCGCTTCTGGTTACCACCAGTCTGTTCTCTGTATCTATGTGTTTGTTCGTTTTATCTCCCACATATAAGTGAAATCATACAGTATTAATCTTTGTCCATCTGACCTTATTTTGCTCAGCATGATACCCTCAAGGTCTATCCATGTTGTCACAAATGGCAAGATTTAATCGTTTTTTATGACTGAGTAGTATCCCATTGTGTGTATATATATACCACATCTTCTTTATCCGCTCATCTGTTGATGGGCACTTAGGTTGTTTCCAAGTCTTGGCTGTTGTGAGTAATGCTGCAATGAACATGGGGTGCTTACATCTTTTCGAATTAGTGTTTTCATGTTCTTTGGATAAATACCCAGAAGTGGAATAATTGGGTCATACAGTAGTTCTATTTTTAATTTTTTGAGGAATCTCCATACTGTTTTCCATAATGGCTGAAGCAGTTTTCATCCCCACCAGCAGTGTATGAGGGTTCCCCTTTCTCCACATCCTCTCTAACGCTTATTTCTTATCTTTTTAATAATAGCCATTCTGACAGGCGTGAGCTGATATCTCGTTGTGGTTTTGATTTGCATTTCCCTAATAATTAGTGATATTGAACATCTTTTCATGTGCCTGTCGGCCATCTATATATCTCCTTTGGAAAAATGTTCGTTCAGATCCTCTGCCCATTTTTTAGTCAGTTTTTTTGTTGTTGTTGAGTTGTGTGAATTCTTATTCACCGCTTATCGGATGTATGGTTTGCGAGTCTCTTTTCCTGGTCCGTTGGTTGTCTTTTCGTTATGTTGATGGTTTGCTTGGCTGTGCAGAAGCTTTTTAGTTTGATGTGGTTATACACGCTTCATTGAAGTCCTTTGCCAGATATATGCATTTTGAGTACTTTATCCCAGTGTGTGCATGGTGCATTTTGATATCCAACTGTGCCAAGACTGAGGAATGTAGTTGATACGTATTGGGAGGAATGATTGTTTTGAGGCTAAAGGTAGCATTGATCAAATCCCACCATAGCAAACTTCAGAGAGTGGCCAGATGCCTTCAGGATGCTGAAAATCCCCAGTAACCCAACTTGGGAGAAATGATTGTTTTGAGGCTAAAGGTAGCATTGATCAAATCCCACCACAGCAAACTTCAGAGAGTGGCCAGATGCCTTCAGGATGCTGAAAATCCCCAGTAACCCAACTTGGGAGAAATCACAGCTCTGGGGGCCTTAGAGCTCTTGCTGAGGGGAAGGTATGCCTAGGGAATCCCTGTGGGTCTTCTCCGTCTCAGCGGCCTCAGCAAACCCTCAGGCTGGAGAGAGTAGGGCTTCCCCTGTTAATAGTGAATTCTTTTACCTTCGCTCTCTTCTTCCCAGCTGGTGTTTAACTAATGAGGTATATAACCAGTTACCCTCCTCCCACCCTGAGAATCCCATGGGGAAGGAAAAAGCTTGACATCTGTCTCCAGAAAGGAGTGTTAGATTTTTTTCCTGCTCTAATATAGGCTTCGATATAGTCCCCTGTTCCCCAGCATACGCAGGCCTTAGCACAGTGCTGCCCTGAGCGCTGCCTGGAATCTTCCTGAGGTGACCTTTATCTGCGTCCCTTGCTCAGCCTTTCTGTTCTGTTTCAGTTCAGTTCCATCTGCAAGAATTTATTGTGATTTACTTCTGTTCTGTCCCCAGGAGTATGCTTAAGACATTTCAAAGGATTATAGTTTGTCCCTGCCCTCCCAAAAATCTCCCAGGAGGAGAGAGTGACATTCATATATTGTATTAGTTTTCTATTGCTGTTCTAACAAATAACCACAAATTAGTGGCTTAAACAACGACTACTTATTAGTTCACGGTTCTGTGCGTCAGAAGTCCTGGCACAATGTGAGGGTTTGGTTCTCTGCTCAAGGTTTCACAAAACTGAAATCAGAGTGTTGGTTGGGCCAGTTTCTTATCTTGAGGTTCTAGGGGAAAATCTTTTTCAGGCTCATTCAGATTGTTGGCAAAATTCAGTTCTTTGCAGCAGTAGGACTGAGGTCCCTGTCTCCTTGCTGTCAGCCTACGTTCCTTGCCACGTGGCCACCTCCATCTTCGAAGCCAGCTATGGAGAGTCTGTCGTGTGTCAAATCCCTCTCGTGCTTCAAATATCTCTGACTTCTCTTGTCTCTCACCTCTGAACCCAGATTTAAAGGGCTTACATGATTAGGGCAGGCCCACCTGGATAGTTTCCTTTGTTTAAGGAGAGCTGACTTGAGACCTGAATTGTATCTGCAAAACCCCTTCACAGCAGTACCTACATTAGTGTTTGCTTGAATATCTGGGAGAAGGTGTGTGTACACCATTGGCCGGGATTCCTGAGAGCCATCTTAGAATTCTACCTATCACATATATGAAACAATTAGGAAAAGATAGTAATTTCTGACCATGTACCAAAGAATATATGTATTCTCTCGTGTTGGTGCCCTAGTGTGGTGGGACACAGGAAGATGAGGACTCAGGTAGGCGATGGTGGAGGAGGAGAGGTGGGGAGGAAGAGGGGGTGGAGGTGGACTCTCAGGGGTGGTGGGGTTGGAGGGGGAAGGCCTTCCAGGTTCGGGGCTGTGCACGTGTCTCACGTTGCTCAAGCTTTCATCAGTGGAAAATAAATGTTTTTTTATAGAAATGATTGTATTTCTTGAGTTAAAGGGACTGTATAGATCTTTCAGTATCTAAATTTCCCTGATTCAATAGTTTCAGCTATTTTGATTCATTTCTTACAAAAAAGCAGCATCCGTAAAACCTTCGTGGGATTTAAAAATTTACACAGGACATTTACATAGATATTAGAGGGCTTTTTTGAAATTGGCGAAAATAACTTGATGGATTCTTAAGGTGGCTTTTATTTTCCAGAATGTGCGTGCTCTTTCTAGAGTAAAATTGAGTGAATAGAAGAAATTTAAAAGGCTTTATGCTTGGAAGTCCTCCGAA